CAAGCTAATATCTAGTGACACAGGTTAAGTGAACTTAAAAGCAAAAGTTTTTTCTCGCCATCAGCTATAGTAATCTTCATAGGCTGGGACTCTTTGCAGCCATAGATCCCTCCCTCTTAGTTCAGTGTCATCCAGGTATTCATTGTTGTCATCAGCAAAGAAATGGTAAAAGAGAGGTAAAGTGTAGGGCACTGTCTCACATATTTATACCACTCTCATCTCTTTAAGGATTACCCCAACCTATAATACAGATGGCATGCAGTCTGGTGTACATGTGAACAAGAACCAGCTCTCTGCTGAAATATAAATTTCTTGTTATATCTTGCCACTCTGCTGATGAGTGGCTGTTTTAACACCTGGATGGGGCCAGTGTGTTTTTTTTTCTCTGAAAAACTCACTGCTTCTTCGAGTGCTTGCTCATGGCCATTCCAATGAGGTGTGCATGCACTGTGTGCACAAGTTCCAGAGCTTTTTCCCTTATCAGTACCCATTGGGCCTGCCAGGGAGCCACCTGAAGTGGCACTGCTGTATCAGAGCATATATACCCTTGCTGGGCCTCCACTCCCTCAGTCACATCAAGCACCGTGAGTAGGATGGTGCTACCACTTAATAAATCGTTGAACAAGTTATCCAGAACCTTATGGCAGACCCCTGCCTCTGTTCCCCCTACATAGCAGGGGGTTGAGAGGTGCTACCATGTCCCCCAAGCAGGGCATGAGCACCTCTTCACACATTCTTCTCTGGGTTTGTTGGTGGTGCAGGCTGTGGCGCAAAAAGAACGCCAAGGACCACTGGGCCCATGCCCAAGTCTAAGGAGCCAGGAAGCTTTATTTGCTGGGGAGAAAGGCCTATGCCATGGACAGCCTGCACCTCCACATCACAAGTCAGCATGTGATGCTGAGTAGGTACTCCTACAACACTTGGTCAGCTATGGATAAATTTAAGGACCGTCTTCCCCAAGACTCGAGATAAGAGTATGGTGCTTTAGCAGAAGAGAGTAGGATAGTGGCACGTACAGTGCTGCAAGCAGCATTGGGTGCCACAGACTCAGTGGCCTGTATGATGGCCACAGGGGTAGTGATGAGGAGCAGCACTTGGCTGCAGGTATTGGGTATCCTCCCAAGGTTCAGAATACTGTGCAGGACCTACCATTTGAAGGGTTTGGCCTCTTCTTGGACCAGATGGATTCCAGGCTGCCTAATCTCAAAGATTCTAGGGCTACTCTAAAGTTTTTGGGGATGCATACTCTGGCATTGCAGAGGAGGCTGCTCGTCCCAGGCCAGCCCAAGGCCCTTCCAATACAGGTTTGGCCCGGATAGAGGCAGATGGAAGGGAAGAAACATTGCCCATAATGGCAATAATAGAAGCAGTCACAGTGGTTCAAGACTGGACTAGGAAAAAGGGTCCCTCCTGCTCAATCTTCCAACCCACAGCCAAAGCCCTCATTTTGAGAGTGTGCTCACGGACAGCGTTACAGTCTTCACCCCATTGTCCTCTTTTAGTTGCTGGCTTTCCCTTTTCTACAGGCCTGGTGTCATATTATTTCCAATCAGTAGGTTCTAGACCTAGTAGGAAGGGATTATGTCATTTCCTTCCTTTCCCTGCCTCCCTCTCACCCCGCTTCTCCATCACTTTTCAGGGACCCTTCTCACGAGCTTCTGCTGCGGCAGGAAGTGTCCTTGCTTCTGCAGCTGGGGGCAGTTGAACCTGTTCCAAAGGAGTTCAGGGGGAGGCTATTTTACTCCCACTGTTTCCTTATCCTCAAGTCCAAAGGGGGATTACATCTCGTTCTAGACTTAAGGAACCTAAACTCGTTTGTAAAGAAGGCAAAATTCTGGATGGTCACCTTAGCGTCTATCATCCCTTCATTTGCTCTCGATTTGAAGGGCACATACTTTCATATCTCAGTGATTCCCACCCACAGGATGATTTCTGAGGTTCATAATAGGTCAGGATCACTTACAGTTTGAGGTTCTACCATTCAGCCTCTCCACAGCCCAGAGGGTCTTCACCAAATGCATGTCTGCAGGAGTGGCCTTCCTGAGGAGGCATAGGGTCCAGGTTTTTACATACCTGGATGATTGGCTGATAAGGGGTCATCCTAGAACAAGTATTAGACCATTAGACAAGTGTTCTCCAGCCTAGGCCTCCTCATAAACAAGGAGAAATCACTCAACCCCACACAGATAATAGAATTTGTGGGGGCCCACCTAGACTCCACTGTGGCAAGGGTGTTTCTTCCTGGGGCCAGATTCAGGACTCTGATTTCCATGATCAAGGACGATCCAGAACAACAATGAGAACATGTATGAAGCGGCTGGGTCACATGGCAGTATGTATGTATGTGGTGAGGTATGCCAGACTGAAGCTCTGACCCCTACAGAGATGGTTGTTGAGCATACACAACCCAGCACGAGCACCACTAGACACAGTGTTCATGCTTCCAGGGGTCATGTTCCACTCACTGTACTGGTGGCTGCAGGAGAGGATGGTCTGCATTGGAGTGCCATTTGTCAGAAAGAGCCCATTGATGCCGCTATTCATGGACACATCAGAGATGGGCTGGGGAACCCAGTTGAGGAATCTCAGGACTCAAGATATGTGATTCCCCCGAAGAGAGTTTCCTGCACATAAATGTCGAAGAGCTCAGGGCAGTCAGGTTGGCATGCCAGACTTTCCTTCCCCAACTAAGAAACAGGGTGGTCTCGGTCTTGGACAACACAACGACTTTGCAAGGAAGCCCTTCTTCTGTGGGAGCTGTGTGTTACCCAGAATATCCATCTCGAGGAGACCTACCTTCTGGGAACCAGCAATGTTCTGGCAGACAAGCTGAGCAGGTCTTTTCAGGCCCACGAGTGATGCATGAACTTGAGTGGTCCATCAGACCAGATATATCAGAGGTCTTCCAGAGGTGGGGCTATCCCAGTCTGAATCTGTTTGCTGCATGGGAGAACACCCAATGCCAGAGCTATTGCTCATATTTGAGTCAAGGGGAGTGATCCCCAGGGGTTGCCGTAGAGATTAAGTGGCTCCAGGAGCTATTGTATGCCTCCGCCTGTTCCCACTGATGCACAAGGTCCTACTCAGGATCAGGAGGCTGGGCTGTGATCATTGTGGTGCTGCTGGCTTGGCCACAGCAGCACTGGTTTATCACCCTACTAGATCTGGCAGTAGAAGACCTAGTGATATGCTACCTGAACCTGTCATCCCTCCACCTCATAGCCTGGAATCTTCATGGTTAGTTGGGGCAGAGTGGCTCTGCTCAGAGAAGGTGCGGAGGATCCCCCTGGAAATTAGCCTTCTACAAGGTTGGTATATGTGGCCAAATGAAAATGCTTTGCCTTGTGGATGGTGCGGTACCTCAAACACTAGGGCCTTTTTCCATCTTCCCTGAGGGTTCAACTGGCTGCGATTGTGGCTTTTCATCCAGGGGAGGGAAGTAAGACAGTCTTTGCAAACATGATGGTGAAGCACTTCCTGAAGTGGGAGGACAGGTTGTTCCCCTATACATGCCCACCTGTATCCCTGTGGGATCTGAATTTAGTTCTGACCAGACTCATGCAGGCCCCTTTGAACCCTTGGCCATCTGCTCGCTGAAGCACCCATCATGGAAGGTGGCTTTCTTGATTGCAATCACATCAGCCAGGAGAGTATCTGAGCTGAGGGCCCCCACATTGGAGCCACTATATATTATTTTCTTTAAGAACAAGGTTAGGCTACATCCTCACTCTACATTCCTCCCTAAGGTAGTCTCATATTTCCATATGTCCCAAGACATTTACCTACCGGTTTTCTTCCTGAAACCTCACTCTACAGGCACTACACTCTCTAGACATTACACAAGCACTAGTGTTTTATATCGAGAGGACAAGAGTTTTGTAGATCCCCATAACCCTTTATTGCTATAGCAGAGAGGATGAAGGGCTCACTGTCACCGGTATCAGCTCAGTGCTTGTCCTCCGGGATCACTTCCTGCATTAGCGCCTGCTTTGATGTTGCTGGTAGGCCGGCTAGGCCAGCACCCCCTTTTACAGCCCTTTCCACGAGTATGCAGGCGTCATCCACAGCACAGGTGCCCATTCTTAACATTTGCAGATTAGTTCACACATTTTCCAGTCACTATGCTATTGCTCAGCAGGCCAGGGAAGATGTGGCCTTTGGGAGGGCTGTGCTGCAGTCCATTTGTAATTAGGTATTGATAGACTCCAACTCCACCTCCTAGGAGGACACTGCTAGGGAGTCACCTAATTAGAAGGGGCATGAGCAAGCACTCGAAGAAGAAAAAACAGTCACTTAATTCTGTAACTGCTGTTCTTCAAGATGTGTTGCTCATATCCATTCCAAATCCCACCCACCTCCCCTTCGTCGGAGGATTCCAGCAAAAAAGGAACTGAGGGGGCAGAGGGCAAGCAGGGGGTATATATGCACTGATATAGCAGCGCCTCTCCAGGAGGCTTCCTGGCTGGCCGAACGAGTACTGCTAAGGGAAAAAACTCAGGAAATCGTGCACGTGGTGCGTGCACACCTAATTGGAATGGATATGAGCAACACATCTTGAAGAACAACCGTTAGAGATAAATAACCATTTTTTGTGTATTACCCAAAATTATAGCACATTACAGTAACAATCATACTGTAGTATTTATATCTCAATATACAATATTGATACATGTTTTACCCAGACAATAATTGTCAATGGACAATGATTATAACTTCTCAATGATACTTCATAAGACATTCTCTGTACAAAATGTATCCTAGTCCTATGAAAGGAGTGAACATAGAGGTGCAGCTTTCAGTCCCTCTTTGAATTTTGTTAAATTCTTGACCTCAGTAGCATATTATAGCAATATGTTTGATACTAGGAGGAACAATACTTATGTGGCCTTCCAAGTATTGTATGCTGGGAATAATCAACCAATATGAGGATTTACATTAGTGTTGATTCTGAAAACTAGCACTTCATTTTTTTTTATAATCTGTGTTTGCTTTTCTTTCAGGTTCTGGGCAATGCTGACATTTTTGGCTTATGTTCTGATATTCATTATAATTGGAATTGTGATAGCAGTGAAAACCTTTCCATATGTGACAGTTCGTGATTTATTTTATATCTTAACAGTCTACCTTGCATTGAATCTTATAAGGTAAGGACTATTGCTTGCCACTTTGTAGAACAATCCTATGTCCCCTTTCCTTGACTTTTAAAAATGATGATAGCACATGTGGCTTTTAAAATACCTGTTTTATGATGTTTTAAACTGCATTACATTTTCATTGTTTGTGCAGGCACTGGAATGTTGGGTGTGCTTTCAAAAATACAATTTGGTTTATTTTATATTTTATTTAACATTAACAGCAATGCATTCAGCTTCCAACAGTAATTGCTGAAATTCTATTAATGCTTAGCATTGAGGGGCTTTTAGTATAACCTTCTTAATAAGATTCCTTTTCTATGTCATGGGCTAAGTCTCATCAATTGCATCATAGAGAATATTTGAACTCTCATGCTCTGGCTGTATTAGAGATGAAGTTGTTCTACAAAATTTTGAATAGAAAAATTGTGTGATAGCTTAAGTTTTCAGCTGCCTTCATTCTGTGGTTGAATCTGTTGGGACGACACATCAGATTTTGTGGATAAAATCATATGGATAGGGAATGAACTGTCTGCTTCTGTGGCTGCAGATAGGAATCTGAAGGGGACAAATGCTATATATTCTCTGAGAGGCCTCTTGGTCTAACAAATAAATGCCTCCCCCTCTCAAAACTTACCAAAAGCACAAAACCCACTGAAAGTTTGTCTGACTATTGGCTGGTATCCAAATTGGATTCTCAATCAAGTTTATAGAGAAGTTTGCAGTAAGACCACTCTCAGTACGTTGGCTCTACTTAACCTTTGCCATTCTAGGCACAGATCTAGATATGAGACAGCAAATGCACTGGTGTCATAGGTAGATTTTGATCTGGTGATGAATGAAGATCAAGTATCCATGCTAATATTGTTAGAACTATCAGTTCTATCAGTAACTTTCAATATTATAATTCATGAGGTGATAGTGAGTCACTTGCACACTGCACCAGAAGTGGATGCTGTTGCTTTTGGATGACTCTTGTTTCCTGGCTTAATGGTCCTATTGGATGGTATAGGATCATAGCTCCTCCCACCTAAAGGCATTATTTGAAGTTCTCTAACAGTCCATTTTATTTTATTTTCTCTTCTGTGCGTGGGATTGTTGGAGGTTTTGTATAAAGGTTTGAACTGCAGTTCTTTCAATATGCTGATGACATCCAGCTCTGTCTGTATCTGGGATTATTGATATTTTTGCTAACCATCTTATTCTTTTGTTTATACAGAGGTCTAGTTGTTTTGTTTTTGAGTCCTCTTCTGAGCCGCCTTGGTTATGGATTTAACTGGCGCTGGGGAACTGTTATTGTCTGGAGTGGAATGAGGGGTACTTTTACTTTGAATATGGCTCTTGAGATTAGCCATGCAAAAGATCCGGGTACAAGAGCAATGAAGAGCATGGTAAAAAAATTTAAAAGACTATCTGCATTTTTTTCAAAATTTGTTCGTAATTTCTGCTAAATACATTTTGTTGAAATGTATGATATAAGAACTATAAGGACATCCAGGGTCAGATTAGCAGCCAAATAAATTTACATATGAGTAACTCTGGCTTTAAAATATGCAGCACGAGTACATGCAGATTATTTAGGTACATGAAATTAGTATATTAACTTTGAAAATCTGGTATGACTAATGGTGATTCAAAGTAAAAATATGCATCTAGTTGCTAAATTTTATATTTAAAATGCATTGCAGTTTAGTTCATTTAAATGTTTTGTGTCAGAGCTCAAGCTTTGCCTGGCCCCTGTGGGTCCTGTGATTTTAGGCGGTTATGGAATGCCTCAGAGGTTCACTGTGACCCTCCACCCTGCCTCTTACCTTTTCACAGCTTACTGAGTCATACTCATCATTGGCAACGTCAAAGGATTGGGATGAAACCCCTCCATAATTCTGGCCTCCCTTTTTGGGAGCAGGAATTTTAGTGGTGTGCGGAGGGTTGTGGGGATCCCATACCCACCCACTACTCCGGCTTCTGGCCCAGGGACCCTAGGTAGCTGCAACTTTTTTTCCTCTAGCCCCAATTCAGCAGCCTTTTCCCTGGGCCACCTCCCCAAACACTCCCCTAGTACTTTCTCCCTGATACCTTATCGAATTTTTCCTGATAAACAATTTTTAGTGCAAACACTTTCCTTTTTCAGTCCTCAGCTCTCCAGCAATGCACTTCCTCCTTTCAGTCCTTCATTCTTCTCTTTCCCCCTCATTTACCTGAAGGGAAATGTTTTAAAGTAGCCCATCAAGCCTTAATTGGCTGCCAGTGCCTGATTAGTCTGCTGCTTCAGGCAAGCTCTTACTTAGCCTCCTGTGCCTGCCTGCCTTGATTACAGCAGTATCTGGCAGTTTATTCAGGAAACAGAAAACCATTTACCTAGCTCCTGATATGTTTGCCCTCCATTATACTATTGTAGCCAGCTGCCTTGGGTCCGTCACAGTTTATGTATAATCTGAATTTTCACAGTCTATAAAATGCATCAGTATTGTTTGAACAGCACTTTCACTATACGCATATAATTTAGCACAGAAATATTTTTACTACAGCTAGCTATGATCTCAGGTGCTCCATGTGTGCCTTTGTAAACTAATCCATTTTCTGTGAAATACTTGTGGCTAAGATTTTTTTTAATGTATCTGCAGTTAGGATTCTAAATCCATATTTGGGTACTTTGAAAATTAGGCTGATTTTTTTCACTGGAGTTAGGAGTCTGACTTCAGTAGTTCACTTTTGAAAATGTTGTCCTGTATTCCCTCCTGCAGAACTTTTGATGATTCTGGAACTGGAGCCACCATTGTTTGATGTCTCTGTTGTCTTTTGTTTAGAGATGTGGTGGTATCAGAATTTAATAAACCAAATATGGAAATATCTGCCTGCAGCATTGATGGTGTCATTTCTTACTCTTGCACAACATCCAAAACTCTCTATGTTCATGTGCCCTAGGAATCTACTCCTCAGGGCTTTTTCTCATCACCCTTGAAACAGCATCAAACTCTTTTATCATGTTAAAAAAGTGAATACAGGAGAGAGAAAGCTTTAAAGCCTTTTTCACACACAAGGAATATTTCTTTGCTTAGAGGAGTCTAAGTCCAGGTACAAAGTGAAGCGAAAATGGTTTAATTCATGTTTAGTTCAGAATTCACTCCAGGCAAACATGGCATGATCTGAAAAGTGATCATCACCCACCAAAATCCTGGGTGAAATCCTACCCCACAAAGTTTACAGAGGCCCAATGAATTCTAAGGACAAATTCTGTGCAGGGCTCTGTCAGGAACTTCAAAGAGATCACCAGGAATCTGAGAACCCTTTTCCCATATCCTCAGTATCACTTGATAAGGTTGTGATCTCAGGACCATCTTAAAATGATGGCAGACATTCTAGATGTTCCCTTATAATCAGGGCTCGACAAATCCACTCGCCCGTGGTGAGTAGATTTTGGCAGCTGACGAGCTGTGACGGGGCAGAGCCGCCCCGCAGCGGTGAGGGCGACCTGCCCTGCACTTCAATGGCGCCTACCCCTGTGCTGTACAGGCAGCGCGGCGTTCTGACAGCGGTCTGCGCTGCTTGCTCCCCTGCGGCCGCCCAGCTGAGCGGCGTGCAGGGGGGCTGAGTCCTGGGACGGGAGCCAGAAGAGGGGGCAAGGCCACACGAGGACGTAGGGCGGGGCCAGAGTGTGCGTGCGTCCCTGATGTCAGGGGGAGAGGCGCTGGCACAACAGAGCGCCGCATTCAGTAGGGGAGCAGAGGAGAGCGGAAGAGAGGAGACGGAGGAGAGTAACGGAGGGAGAGGAGAGAACAGAGGAGTGAGCTAGAAGATGGCAGTGGGCGGAGGAGTGAAGGGTGAGAGTGGAGGAGGGGGATGGGAGTCGGAGGAGGTCAGAGAAGGCAGGAGGGAGACAGGGAGTGGAGCAGAGAGCACAGCATGGGGGCAGAGGACGTGAAAGGAGAAGCGGAGGTAGGAAGCAGCCCAGGATGGGGCTCCTTAGTGTCTCTGCTCTGGGCTGCTTCTTATACCTTATATACTTTTATATACCTCCTTTGGACATTCTGACAGTTGAAGTGCAAATGGTTAAATTTAGGAAAATTATAAATAAATATCCAGAATTTGAAAATATGCAGTTGTGATGTCAGTAAACGCATCATTTATGGACAATTTGTAGGGTATCTCATTGTTGAAAATAATGTGCATTATTCTTTGTACTGTTAATCATAACACTGATATAAAGTGGTGATATGCTCTTTCTTTTTCTGTTTTAGATATTACTTCATGCAGGAACAGCATCATTAATGACTTTGATGATTAATTCTACCACAGTAAAAAAGCTGGTCACAACGTTAGGTAAAACACAACCATTAATATTGTGAAAGAAAGGAACATATTAATATTATCTTTGATATTCAGTTTATTTATAAAATGTGCTTTGTTACATCGTGGCTCATTTGGCAGATATTAGTTTGAGTGCACTAGTGCAATTTTATTACTTTTTATAGTGCATTCTCTGTGGATTTATTAATTGGACAATTAACACAAAATAGATAAGAATCACAAAGGCATGATGCAAATTATCAAAATTGAATTTACTGTAACTCCAGTACCACTTTGTAGCTATATTCCTTTGTGCTAACATTGAAAATTCACTTATCTCAGAGCTAATTGGTTTATCAAAATATTGTTTAAATAATATTAAATACAACCTCAAATCAATGTTTTAAAGGTTTGATATATTTAATTAACTCTGTTTAACAATTTTTTTTTCAAATAACCTGCTGCGTTCCTTGATTTGTCCTGGAGTAAGAAAAAAAAACCCAATTATTTAATGATAAATTGTTTGTCAAAGATTCCCCAATCACTTAACAGAATTCCTGGCAGATAATGTTGTAACCACTTACAAAAGAGGCATATTACAAACAAAACATCCTATCAAACATGTGATTATAAAATCCCTAGTATAGCAGCTTCTGGTGTAGCTCAGAAACTTCCATAGGGAAAAATCTGTAATTTTCTATCCTAAAAGGGCAGCAGGACTGGAAGGAAATTGGATGGGGAGATGGGAGAACTACATCAACATACACCCACTGTCTGGGCAGTAATTTTCTCTATTTTATATTCTCTTCACCATTCTGTAACAGCATTTTGAACAGAGGGCAGATATACTGAGTAATATCTATTTCAGAAGACTTACTTTACAAAGTGGGGGTAATAGCAATTTGTATTTAAAGGCTGCTTCTGAAAATGCAGTCAAGCACCTGCTTTTAGTGATTAGTGAAGATGAGTGATCACAAAAAACTAGTATGCCGAACTTAAGAGCACTAGCATTTATTGATCTCTAAAGCATAAAGTTAGCCTCTTCTTTTTTGATAATCACTGAGGGAAGCTATTGCTTATATGAAAAGAGTTATAGAAATCCTTATAATATTTTTAATTAACAGCAATTATGACAGTAATTCAGCCACTTTGTATTGAATGCTAACAATGTGCTTAATGTTGTATAAACATCTGAGATCTGATATATGTGCACAAGTGGTTTGAAAAACAGTACTCCGAGTAGAGTTATCAATGATTTGCTGGGTTTTCTTGTAGGGTTCTGTCCTGGATCCAGTACTGTTCACAATGTTCATTAATAATTTTGATGATGTAGGAGAGTACACTTTTTCAATTTCTGGAGGACACCACACTGGGAAAGATTGCAAGCACTTTGGAAGATAGGATAAAAAATTCAAAATTATATACTGGAATACTGGTGTGAAATTCAATGAAGATAATTATAGAGTACTGCTCTTAGCAAGGGAAAATTAAGTACTCCAATACAAAATGTTGAATAACTGACAGGGCAGCATTACCTATGAGAGGATAGCAATTAACTGTTCTTCATGTCCACCAGGGTAGGATAAGTAGTAATTAGCTTAATCTGAAGCAAGGGAAATTAAGGTTGGCTGTTAGAAAAAACTTTATAACGATGGGAATAGCTAAGCACTGGAACAGGTTGTGATGGACCCTCCCCCCGTGCTTTATGAAATGGACTTATGAACATAAATATACATAACGCAAATGTTTTTTGAGCAAATTATTTCATGTAACCCATCAATCTTCATGTCGTGATCCACTGGTTGGCTGCGTCTAGATTGGCTGCTTTTGCGCAAAAACTTGCCAGCTGTCTACACTGGCCGCTTGATTTTGCACAAGAGCACTGACGTTCTACTGTCCGAAATCAGTGCGTCTTCTGCAAATGCTTTGACGTTCCCGTTCATGCAAAAGCCCTTTTGCGCAAAAGGGCCAGTGTAGACAGGCAGCTAAGACATTTTGCACAAAAGCAGGCTAAATGGAAAAAAGCCCTATGGACGTTTGCAGACTCCGTAGCTGCAGTCAGCTCCCTGGACTTCCTGTAACCTGAGCCCCCTGAAAGCAGACGCAGGAGACCATCTCAGACCTCTGGACAGAGGTCTGCCACATGGCCCCTGCCGTCCAGCAGACACCCCGGGAGGGCAGCTCCAGGGGGGGGATCAGCCACCCGCACCCCCAGCGCAGGAGGCCCCCAGGGGCCGAAAACGACGAGCCCCGTTCTGGTCCTCGGGGGAGCTGGACACCCTGCTGGACTTGTGGCAGGAGGAGGGAGGCCCTCCACGACACCTGGTCCCAGTGCCGCAATGCCGAGATCTTTGCCTGCATGGCCCAGGTGCTTGCCCACCAGGGCCACCCAGCCCGGACCCTCGAGCAAGTCCAGGCAAAAGTAAAGGAGCTGCACCTGGGCTACGTGCGGGCCAGCGAGGGCCAGGGGGCAGGAGCTGACACCTGCCCCCATTACCAGCGGCTCCACGCCATCCTGGACGAGGCACCATCCCAGGGACCATCAGTGCCAGTGGACACCAGCAGGCCCCCCCCCCCCGTCACCAGGTCCAGCGAGGTGGGGGATGAGGAAGAGCTGGCCAGTGCGTTGGAGGAGGAGGAGGAGGAGGACCAGGGAAGCACTGTGACCCTCCAGCTGGAGGTCCTCTCAGGCAGCCTGGACATCTCCCGTCTCACGCCTGCAGCCTGCCAAACAGGCTGGAGTTTTGTAGAATTCGGGTGTCGTGTTCCCTGCTGGACCAGCCCACATAATGTCAAGAAAGTGGCCACGGTGGTCCACGAGGGCCTGGAGTACAATGGAGAAGTACCCCTTTCAGTTTATGATATGGGCTGCTCGATGCTCCGGGGCATGGACGGGGATGTGGGTTGTATCCGGGGCTCCCCTGCAGTTGGGGAACCCCAGGGCAGCGAAGCCGGCCACTGTTGTGTCCACGTCCCGAAGGTGGATGACTCACTGAAGCAGGATGTCGTTGATGGCGTGGATGACCTGCAGAAGGGTGCACAGAAACACAGGGAATGCACCAAATGAGGCAGGGTGAGTGCATGATCCTTTGGGGGGGTGCCTGCCCCCCTATGATGCCCTCTGTCCCCAAACACACCAGGGCCCTCTTGCCCCACAGGCCCCCCCCCCCAAA